ATACTATACCTCCTAAAGGAGGAAACACATTCTAATTCTCTGATTTTTTCATGATAAGTGCGACTTTCTAGAACATTAGAGGAGTCAATACCAAAAAAGCCTTACCAAGGTTAAAAAAAAACTGATTACCATTTATAAGGTGGAACTTGTTGCAATTTTGGAACCTTTTGCCAGCATCAATCAAATTGAGAGGTTCAGGAAATTCCTTGGCTATCAACACTGTATCTCCAATACTAATGGTCAGATTTGGATCATGTGGTCAGGTAACAATATGGCCACTATTTTGAACAACAATGATCAGCAAATCACTATTAAATTGCATTATGGGACGGCTAATAGTGATCTCTATCTCACAATAGTTTATGCTAAGTGCACTCCTGAAGAAAGGAGAGATTTATGAAGTAGCTTAGAGAGCACTCATCTCCAGGTGAATGGTCTGTGGTGCGTCGGCGGTGATTTATCATTCTAGGCCCCGACGAGAAAAAATGTGGCAGACCTCATAAAATGAATAAAAGTCTTGAATTCAATACTTGTATGAATAACTATGGTATGATGGATTTGGGGTTTGTTGGGACAAAATATACATTGTGTAACAATTGGGAACCTAGAAGAAGAATCTGAAAGAGGCTCAACAGAATGTTTATTAATGATTGATGGTCTCAGATTTTTCAAAAATAATTTAGTCAATCACTTGGCTAGAATTGGGTCTGATCATAGGCCTATTCTAATTCAATGTCATGATCTTAATCAACAGGGGATTAAATATTTTAAGTTTCTTGATTTCTGGACTAATCAACCATATTTTTTGCAAGTAGTAGAAGAAGTATGGAGTAATCAAGTTCATGGCAACCCTTTGTGGAGGTTACAACAAAAGCTTAAAATGCTTAGTAGAAGGCTGACTCAATGGTCTGAAGAAGACATTGGCAATGTCTTTGATCAAGTCCAGTTTTGGAAAAACAAAATGCAAGACCTTGAGAAAATCAATCTCAATAACAGTAATGATCATTCTAGGGCTAAATTGAACAGAGGCCAAGCAGAATACATTAAATGAATGGGGATGCATGATGCCATTCTCAGGCAGAAAGCTAAGATGAATTGGTTTGAAGAAGGTGACTCCAACACTAAATATTTTCATAGCACCATTAGAGGTAGAAGGAGAAGACTGTAACTTCATAGAATTAAGGACCACAAAGGTAAGTGTATTGAAGGAGATGCTAACATTGGCAAAGCAACTGTTCACCACTTTCAACAATTCTTTAATATCAAACACCATTTTAGGGATCAAGATATCATCAATTATATCCCTCAGTGTATTAATGATGATGATAGTCATTCTTGATATTGAAGAGATTAAAGATGTTGTATTCAGCATGAGTCCTACTAGTACAGCTGAGTCGGATGGTTATAATGGGAAATTCTTTCAAACATGCTGGGATATCATTAAGGATGACATTACATAATTTTTTCAAGATGTCTTCAATGGTAGAAGACTTACTAAGTTCTTCTCTCATACCTGCCTTGCTCTTATACCTAAAGTGGACTCTCCTAGTAGTTTCTCGGATTTGAGACCTATTAGTTTGAGTAACTTTACGACCAAGATTATTTTCAAAATCCCATCTAGAAGCCTGAATCCTATTCTAGAGAAGCTCATCTCTGAGAATCAGAGTGACTTTGTCAAAGGAAGATTGATCACTGAAAACATCCTTCTAGCACAAAAGATTACACAAGGTGTGAACAAGAAGAACAAAGGACACAATGCTATTATAAAGCTTGGCATGGAAAAAGCCTATGACAGAATTTCATGGACCTCCTAATGGCAGTAATGAGGAAGTTTGGCTTCTCTAAAAATTGGATTGACCTTATCTGGGGTTTCTACAGGGAGTCTGGTACTCCATCATTATCAATGGGGCAAGAACTAGTTTCTTCACATCTACACAGGGCCTCAAACAAGGGGACCCGTTATCCCCTTCTTTGTTTATTATTGGAGCTGAGGTTCTTTCCAGATCTCTCAATGAGCTGAATGACTTTATTAGCTTTACTCCTTTTAGTATGGATCACAGAGGGACAATCATTAACCATCTAGCTTATGTGGATGGTATTGTTATTATTTGTAGACGTAACAATATCACCATCAGGCTCATCAAGAAGGTTATTGACAAATATGAAAAGGCATCTGGGCAGAAAGTTAACAATGACAAGAATTTCTTTATAGCTCCTCACATTTGTGCCAATAGAATCAACTGAATTAGAAATGCCACTGGTTTTATGGATAAATCTTTCCCATTTACTTACCTGGGATGCCCTATATATTATGGGAGAAAGACAAGCAATCTCTTTGATGGTATGCTCTCCAAAATTATCAAAAAGCTCAATGGATGGAAGGCCAATATGATGTCTACTGGGGGAGAATGATCTTGATCAAACATGTCATGCAGTCTTTTTTCACTTATATATTATCTGCTATGTCCGAAAAACAGGGGGATACAAAAAAGTAATAAGAGAGGCGCACAGACCAATTAATTGTATCGGTCATATTCTTGAATTTGAATGAAAAGAGGAGTAATGCTTCCTAGCAGGGGACAAAGAATAAGACCACTTAGATCAGAATAGCATTCACAGGAATTACTAAGCTCATGGAGAAATACTTTGCTAATTTCTTTTGGGGCTCCAACGAAGGTAGAAATAAATATCATTAGCCTTCATGGAACAATCTTTGTCTCCCTAAAGATGAGGGAGGAGCTGATGTCAGGAAAATGGAGGACATCATTGACACACTTAGCATCAAAAGGTGGTGGAGATTCAGAACTCAACCTTCCCTTTAGGCCACTTTCATCAAGAATAAATACTGCAAAAATGCTCATTCGGTGAACAAAAGATTCAGTCCAGCTGATTCTCATATATGGAAAAATATGTTAAAGATTAGAGACAATGTAGAGCATAACATTAGATGGGAAGTTCAAAAAGGTAACTGTAGCTTCTGGTGGGACAATTGGACCGGTAAAAGTGCCTTAACCAATCTCTTACAAGGTGGTGGTAGGTCTGCTAAAGTACAAGTGAAGCAGTTTTTGCATAATGGAGGATGGAATATCGACAAGCTTAGTGAAGTTCTCCCTGGTCATCTTATTGACTTCATTGTTCAATTGGATATTGGTGATCCTAATGAAGAAGACTTTCCTGTTTGGAATATTCTAATAATGGACATTTCTCTTCTAATTCAGCATAGCAATCTATTAGATTTAAAAAAAAAAAAAATTTTATAAATAAAATCTGGCTTAGCTCTATCCCCTTTAAAATTTCTTTTATCACTTGGAGACTTTTTAAAATTAGATTGCCTTTTGATGATGTTATAGGCAGATTTGGCACTAATATCATTTCAAGATGTTCCTGTTATTTTTCTGCGCAGGTGGGAGATACTGCAACATGTTTTTGACAATAGTGATGTAGCCAACTTCATTTGGAATTCTATTGAAAATGCACTTGGAATCAAACACCAACAAAAACCTGTGTACCTTCAAGAGATAATGGGAGACAAGCGCCAATAATAAAGTGCATAAACAAATCCTTCAGATAGCTCCCATGGTCATATGTTGGGAACTTTTGAAGCAGAGAAATACGTGTAGATATGGAAAGCAAAAGAAGTTTCAACTAAATATCATGAGACATCAAAGCATTTGGACCTTAAAAGCAGCAATCTCCAAATACATACCAGGTGACTTTACTCAACTAGATTGGCCTTCATTATGTGAAAAAATTGAGAGACTCAGGCCATCACAAAAATGGATGCAAGTTATATGGGAACCTTCTTTACTGGGAACTATCAAGGTTAATACTGATGGTAGCTTTAGCAAGAAAAGTGAAAAAGCAAGCATTTGTGGGATGGTCAGGGACTGTCATGGTAATCTCATTATGGCCTTTTCTTTTCCCATCAAGTGTGATAGTAACAATATGACAGAGGCAAAAACGACTGAGTTTGGAGGGAAATGGTGTAGCCAAAATGGATACACTAATTTTTCTCTTGAACTTGACTCTATGATTATTGCTGAGGTGCTTACAGAAAGAGATACTAACAACTTGAAGATCAAGATGGCGATTGATAGAACCTCCAACATTGTTCAACATGCTAGAATTTATGTCAAGCATTGCTTTAGAGAAGGTAACCAGGTAGCAGATTGTCTTGCAAAGTTGGCTACTACAAAAAATTAGAGGAGAGTGTTCCACTCATTCCAAAAACTGCCTAATAGTGTTAAAGGACCTTTCCTTTTAGATAAATGGCAACTTCCTAGTATAAGGACGAAGTACGAAAAATATGTTCATAGATTCTCAGGAAGGAGGGTTTATATATGAACCTCCTTTCCTGTTATTTTTAGGGTGATGGAATCATCGTTGTTGTATTTTCTGAGGTAAGGTCTAGTCCCCCTCTTGCGTTTTTTTGAATACAACACAACCTAGACCTCTGTCTGGAAATTTTAGTTAAAAAAAAACATAGGTGTACAAAAGGTAAAAGGCTTTATGCAAGATAGAGCATAGTTTTAAAATATGGGTCAAGAGGCGGGTTGGGCTATGACCCATTGTTTAGCTCATCTTGACCCAGCCCATCTTAGCCCAAGTATATTTTGGGCTGGGTTGGGCAATAACCCATTTAATGACTCAACCCATTTGGGCCCTCCCAAATTCAGCCCAACCCGCTCATTTGCCACCCCTAAAATTGAGTTAGGCCCAAATGCCATCTTTACAAACACTATTATTTTTTACGTCGAAAAAATTACCACTTACTATATTTAAATTTTTTTATCTTTATATTCTCATTTTGTCTTAATGACCTGCTGCTAATGAAATTGACATGATTTGTTCTGGAGGGGTCCAGAACAAAGAGCAAAAATTTGTCTTATATCCTAAGAAATTAAGGGAATATCCAACTAAGACTAAATACAAATAACAAGGTAATCTTTAAATAGTTGTACCAGTCTATCCTAAATATAGTTGCAGTATACTCATAGACAAAACTAAAAATTGGCTTTCTTAAACAAAGAAAAATAACAATAAGAGGGATAAGTGGCAACTCAAACGGTATGTTTACGGCCTATAAGGCAAGTACTTAGGAGATCTCACTCCAATGCATTAATTTCCTGCTATGCTAATTGCATGGTCAGATCTCAAGTACTCACCCCCTACGTACATAGGCGGTTCTACTATGTCTGAACATATTAAAGTAACAAGCTAATATAAAACTTTTGTATGGTTTAAAACTCTACTTTCTCTTAGGTTCACTTAATGAATAAGTAGGCAGAGAAAGAGAAAGCATTGTGTTAATTTCTGACTGATGATCCATCCTCTTGCTATGATGATGAGTATTCTTCTCATTCTTGTTTTCTGTGCTTCTGCTTAATCTTAGTTGCAAATCAGGTAACCAATCTTTTCCGGTCATGAAACTTTTGTCTTCTTTCATCTGCAAAGTCAAATTACCAATGAAGTAATGCAACAACAAGGAAACAAGGAAAGATGAAATCCCAATAAATAATAGTACTCCATATGAGGAGCTATATATATATGTGTGTGCTTCTATATATTTACCTCAAGCCTTGTTGGTGTCTCCAAATTTTGCTCAAGGGTATTGTATCTGCAATTCCATTTGGAATATGGTTGCGCTACATTTTGTTGAAGCAAATATTGGGAGTTTTTAGCTGAACAAATATTGGAAAAATCAGCAATTTTCTCCTCCAACTGATTGGCAGTGAATTCACTCGGAGGCCACCTTTTCTCTTCAAGAAATTGGCTTGACCTGACGGGGCCAATTTCATGGCCTCCATTTTTCTGAAATTGTCTTGGTGTACATAGCTTTTCTCGAGTGGTGTTAAGTACGCTTCCCTGATTGGAAGACCACTGCAAGTACCTGTACATTTGTTTATTGAGTTTAATTTCCAAATAATGAAAATATAGGTTTTTTGTTACTGTATCATGTCGTTATTAAAAGATAACTGTAGGTAATATTCAAAAAAAAAAGTGGGATTAGTAACCTAGGAAACAATGTAGACCATTACCTGTATATATGTGAAATCACAAATTATTAAGAATAGTTAAGCAAGTCAAGTAGAAGCTTATCATTGACTAGGTGAAATTGTACCTGGAAAAGATGTCTTTGGCCTGATATGGGGGTCTCGAAAAGGAATTTCGAAAATGGCCTTTAACATGGTCATGATCATAATTAAAATTCCTTGCTAACACAATGGCACCATTCTTCATCTTGAAATCTTGTCGAGGGTTATATCGTTGGCCTACGTTTCCATAGAAATAGCTTCTTCCTTGCATTGCTCTATAATTACGACCTAACACTATAATACCAAAATGAAGCACCATCAATATTCATAGTTAGTATAACACATGAAGAAAATGGGTTAAGAGCATTTTGTCAGCCTAAAGTTACATGCCAATTGTAGATAAGGACAATTAACTGGTAACTTAAGGAGGATAAATGATCATAATTAACATGTATACTTGGTTGAAAGGAAAGAAGTTTCAAATTTGATGATATAAGTACCTTGTCCAGATTCATCAAGTTTCTTGCTTCGATACATCTGGATCAAATAAAAGTAATGAGTTAACTCATTATTAAGAAAAAATTATTAACAAACATACTTGATGAATATAAGTATTTCAACTCACAATACCTGCAAATGGCTTTTTACATGGGCAATACTGAGACCTCTCACGTTCATCAGCTGGAGCACCAACTTTGGTGTGGCTCCTGCCAACCCATGTTGACCTTAAACATTAAACAAATATTTCTGGAAACTAGGAAGAATCTTATTTTACAATATCATAAACAACAAATGTGGCAACAATAATTTTTGTTATAACAATGTACATAAACTAAGAAACAGACGAGGTCACCTAAAGAAATGTAATTAAAACGGATAGTATATATATTTTTTGTTATTTTTCTTTTACCAGTTTATAATAAAGTTTGACATCTGTAGGGGGGAAGATACACAATGGTCAAATTTTTAAACATACTTGCGACAATATCTCCATTTATAGCTAGTTAATAAAGGAAAGCATCTAATTCAATAATTCCTTGACTCTTAAAAGCCCTTCATAAAATAAGGAGGTAACTTATACACATAGGTACAATAAATAACTTTTCCACTATTGTATTTTTTAATATATTGAAGTAGATAACTTGCTTTATAAATGGATTGTGTGATCGTATTATCTAAAGTCTTATATCGTTAAAGAGAACACTCAGTTATTTATTTTATTATGTAGTAATCATTATATTCAGGATTATATATAAATCTTACTTTTTAGTTATTATTACATGTAATTATTTTACAATGTAAAAGATATATAGTGTAAGAATACTTTTACATTGTTATTGTGCTGAAGTTAAACTCAATAAAATACATGTTGAGTAAATGTGAATAGAACTTGATCTTCAAGCATTAGGTAGAGACTTACTTTCTTGACCACCTAGCCTTTCAATGGCATGAACAAAGGAGCGATGGAGTTCAGGAGTCCAACGGAGCCTTGGCATTTTTGATCGAACATAATGCCTTACGTTTTTCTTTTCAACACGTCCATTGCCGGAGCTATTGTTATTATTTTCTGAGTTTCCTTCATCCGTTGTTTTCTCATTACTGTTTTCCACACTAATCTCAATGACTTCTTCTTCTTCATCACTTTCCCCTTTGTTGTCTTCGTTCAGATCAACGAATGAGACCAATTTGCTTTGAGAGGAAGAATCTGAAGATGTTTTTTCCATAATGTATTCCATAGTATTTGTCATCATCTCTTCATTGGCTTGTTTCATTGAATTTTCTGTCATGGCTACCTCTAACTTTCTGAGCAAGTTAGGCAGGCAAAGAGGTCTTCAGTGAAAGAAACAAGCCTGGATTGTGTATGAATAAATAAGTTAATAAAATTAGACTTGAAGAGAATAGAACTAAAGAGATTATTCATGGTAAAATAGATAATTGAATTGGCTACCATGCAGAATCCCGTGAACCATTGAGTCTCTCAACTTGTGTGCCCAAAGCCATTAGTGTGAGGGCACATAACTAGCTAGTAGCTACCTTGTAAAGCTTTTTCTTGATCTTGTTCTAACCCTCTAATGGTAACTTATGTACAAGATGCCACAACACTTCTACATATAACAACTATGGAATCAACATATATATATATTGTTGGAATCAAAATAACAAAGAACCAGTGAAAGTTAACAAGCAAACCTTGAATGACGATAAGTCAGAATACAAAAGAAAATATACTAAAAGATGTATACTATTTTAATATGTCTACATATAAGAAAACTACTTTAATACATATTAAAAAAGCTTATTTAGAGAATAAATTCTCCTCCTAAACAAGATTTTCATAAGGACCAGATTATAGATAAATGCTATTGTTATGTTGCATGAAGGAAATATCCTTGATTTATAAAAGTACAAAAAAATTTCTTCCAAGAAAAGAATTAGTAAAATATGAAAGAGCAATTTTAATTAGATAATCAGGGCAAACCCTAACACAAATTCAGTTTTACCATGTACTTAGTTACAGTCTGTTGTTCTGCCTGCAGCATTAACATTGTATTCTCCTGCCCTTAATGGTACGAAAAAACATTTCTGACAGTATCAGCTGCTAGTCGGGAATTTGCAGAAGCCAGATGGGAGAAACTAATTGTAACCGGCACAAGTCTGTTGGAATTTAATGGTAATTCTTAGTGCGTGGTTTATCATTTTCCTACTCCAATATAAATGTAAGTAGATATATGACTTAAAGAAATGTTAATAGTCAAATAAAGACTGTTGAAGCTGGCAGGTATAAAGATGGGAGTAACAAAAATTGCAGAAGTTTTCTTGATTTAAAATCCTGCAACATTTATTCTTGTTTTATGTCCTCTACTAGTACGAAACTTTACTGTGTAGTGTGTACTTCATTTTTCTTTAAAACGCCAAGAAGAAAAAAAACTTGATTAGGTACGGGGAGAACCATATATAATACTCCATAAAATAAAATCTCGTTCCTGGAAATTCTGTAAAACTGATAGATTTAATAATGGATACTGAAAATTTTGGAAGACCCTAACAACATCTTTATAAGACCATATATCTCTTGCATCAAGTAGTCTGAAAATAAAAAGAAATATTCATTGGAAAATGGTCTTAACATCCTACTTAGTCCAAGATAACAAGTAAAGAAAAATTTGTTCAAAAGAAAGAAAAAGGGAGAAGGGGAAATAAGAAAAACCAAACTATTTGTTCCTAGCTGGAAATTAAGAAAAAAGAAAAGAAAAAAAATAATAGAGGATTCTATTATTGGATCATCTATATTCATGTAAAAACAAAAGTTTTTAAAACTGAAAGCATATAAAGAAGTTAAAAAGCATGGTTTGTTTTTCTAAATACAAACCATGATCAGTAAACTCCTCTGTGCTTCTTCTTTCAAGAATTTGTATCAAAAGTATCAGCTGCTTTGCTTAGTCCAGACCTTCTATAGACGATCACTTGCTGCAGATGACTCAAACACACATAATTTGGCTTGAATATTTACAACAACAATAGCTACGTCTCAATTCCAAGCATCGAAAGAGTTCCCTTTATGAATCATTACTCTCTATGCCCGCACAAAATTCAGATTGAAAATAGTATATGAGAAGAAAAAAGAATTTCCTTTTGGTTGAGGGTGGGGGGAGTGAGAGAGGAAAGGGTAAAGGAGAAGGTGGTGCTGTTTTTCCTTTGGGCGTTGGGATGTTTTTATTTCATTCAACAATGGAATTTATTTTCAATGCAAATGTTGATATGACTTTTCTATGGAATTCTTTTTTTTTTTTTCTAGACTTAGATTAAAGGAAACATTTATTTTAACAGGAAAATTACAAAGTGAACAATATATGGTCAGACAGTCCACTTGGTGCTCATTATAATGTAATAATTCTAGCATTATTGAGGATACAGATGATGAGACTGGTCCTCCTTTTGGTTGAATTTTAGTATCATGTGACTTACCCGAAATGTAATTTTAACCTCTGTAAAACCAATTTTCCATCTATTTTTTTGACAGTTGTCCCATCCCACCCCCAACCTTCTTTACCTCATTCTTCCTTTCTCATGTGATTATCTTATACTTTGACCTTTGTTGAAGACTTTCCCATTGATGTATCATGTATATATAATAAATAAATCTTCTTCTTTTTTAATGATAATAAAATCCAAAGGAGTCGGCCGTAACCAAAAGTCTTATTCATATGGCCATTGTCCAAAAATTATAATGGGTATTTTTTGGACATAATGGGTGTCTCTTGTGTGTGTTCATCATCCTCCTGCGAACTCTAAGAATTCAGACTTACTACATTAATCCTGTGAAGATTTGAGCTTAAATAGAATCCGCCATTAGAGACGAAGGAGCATAGAAGAAAACTTTTCAGAGAGAAAAAGTACTCTGTATAGAATGTATCGAATATGTATTTTTACATCTTAGTTACATGTATACAGTAAAAACTAACTCCTATGACAGTTGTCGTCTTACTATTAAAACTAACTATCACTAATCGACTTATTTAAATAAATAACAATTCTTTCTTCTTCTATACAGTGCAGGTCACGTGACTCCTATTTCCACACTCTCCCTCAACCTGGTGGGTGCAAAGATATTCAACACTCCCAGCTTGCCAACTAGATGTCATGCTGAGCTCTTGGTAACCCCTTTGTTTGAATATATGCTTCTTGATCCCTCGTGCCTATATGATGAGTTTTCACCAGTCCTTCTTGAATTTTTTGCCGGATGAAATGACAATCTATCTCTATATGCTTCGTCCTCTCATGGAATACAAGATTTGCTGCTATTTGTATTGCTGTTTTACTGTCACTGTATACATCAACTAGTAATATAACTTCTGCTCCTTATTCCTTCAACAGTGCTGCAACCCATACCAATTCTGATATATCACTTGCCATGCTCCTATACTCTACCTCAGTTGAGCTTTTAGACGCAATACTTTGTTTCTTTGATTTCCATAAAATCAATGACTCTTCATATTTGATTAGAAAACCAGACACTGACTTCCTTGTGTTGGGACACATTGCCCAGTCTACATCACAGAAGACACTCAAATTGTTTGATTTGGTTCTACTTAGCATGATCCCTAAACCTGGTCCCCTCTTGACATACTTCACAACTCTCACTGCAGCTTCCGAATGAGATTTTTTTGGTTCTTGCAGGAATTGGCTAAGAGTCTGTACTGAGAATGCAATATCTGGCCTTGTCAATGTAAGGTATAATAACTTTCCTACTAACCTTTGATACTGTCATTTATCTTCTAAGAGCTGATCATCCTCTCTGCCAATTAGCTTGTCATATTCTGAAACTATTAGTTTGACATTTGCCTCAAGAGGTGTCCATGTTGGCTTTGCACTTCCTAGGCCTAGTTCTGAAATTATCTCCAAAACATATTTTCTTTGATTAACTACAATCTCCTTCTTTGACTTGCTGAACTCCATTCCCAGAAAAAACTTTAAGTCACCCAAATCTTTGATCTTGAATGCTTTGTGTAATGAATTTTTGGTTTCCTAAATCAATATCAAGTTGTTTACTGTCATCAACATATCATCTACATAGACTAATAGAATGACAATGTCCTTATCCTGTTGTTTGATGAATAGGGAATGATCTAGACTACTTTGGGTAAAACCATACTATAAGAGTGCCTCTATCAATTTTAGATTCCACTGTCTGCCAGCTTGTTTCAACCTATAAAGGCATTTGATAAGTCTGTAAACCATAGGATTCTCCCCCTGACTCGAAATCCCAAAGGAAGTTCCATGTACACTTCATCAAGAAGGTCCCTTTGTAAGAAAGCATTGTATACATCTAGTTAAAGTATGATCCAGTTATGCCCTGCTGCTAGTGAAAGCACAGTCCTGATAATTGCTACTTTAACTACTGGAGAAAAGGTTTCTTGATTGTTAAGGCCTTCTTTCTGGTTGTAGCCTTTGGCTTCCAACCTTGTCTTGAACCTTCAACCTCCCATTAGCTTTCAACTTCACCTTGTATACACATCTACAGCTAATTATAGACTTTCCATGTGCACCTTGACTAATTCCCAAGTCTTGTTATCCTGTAGTGCTTGGATTTCAGCTTTCATAGCTTCTACCCGTCTGGGATCCTTGCATGCCTCTTGAAAAGAACTTGGTTCAACAATAGAAGAAAAATCTCCCAGGTAAGCTTGATAGGTTGCAGATAATTTTGCATAGGACAAGTAGTTCTCAATAGGATACAGTGCTACATGAGTCTTTCTATGAGGTGTAACATAATCAGATAGCCAAATAGGCTCTTTGGTCTGCCTTTGAGACTTCCTTAGAGAAACTTCTGGTGTTGCTGAAGAGCTTGGGACATCTGTAGTATCAAGTATATCCGGTGGTGACTCTAAGGAAGTGTCAGCTACAATTGCTTCAAGAATTAAAGAAGGATTATTATCCTCTGCAGGTTCAGCATGTCCTGCTAAATCTTCCTTTAAAAAATAATCCACAAGACTAGAAGAATTAGGATCTACCTCATTAGAAGGTAATGGAATATCTGTACAAAGGAAAGGTGATCACTGATCCTCATGTTGTAATGTTTGCTCCTGAATGTCTTTAAAAGGAAAAATATTTCCCTTAAATATCACATCTCGATTGACAAAGAATTTCTACTTTGTTAAGTCATATAGAACATACCCCTTGGTGACTATTGAGTATCCCATAAAGACTGACTTGATGGACATGTTGTCAAATTTGTTAAGTCTCGGTAGTGTGCTAGCATAGCATAAGCATCCAATTGTTCTTAAATGCTTGATATTAGGCTTTTTTTAAGGACATCTCATAGAGAGATTTCCCATTTAACACTGCAGATGGTAATCTATTGATGATGTATGTTGCCCCCAGAACACAGTAACCCCAGAACTGGATTTGTATATGCCCTTGAAACCTGATTGCTCTAGCAGCCTCAAGGAGATGTCTGTGATTCCTCTCAGCCACTCCATTATGCTGAGGTGTGTATACACAAGTTGTCTGATGCACATTTCCTAATCCTTGACTAAATCCTACATATCCGAACTTACTAGTTTACCACCATTATCAGTTCTTATAGTTTGCACTATGGCACCAAATTGAGTATGTATCATTTTGAAGAAATTTTTGAGCACAAAGAACACATCACTCTTAAATTTCAACAAGAATATCCATATTACTCGAGAGAAATCATCTACAATAGTCAAGAATAATCTATGCCATCAAAAGTCTGTGTGTTATATGGTCCCCATAAATCCAAGTGAAGCAATTTAAAAAATTCTTCTTGATTTATTTGTACTAGAAGGAAGAGATAATCTAGTATGCTTAGCTAACGGACAAATGTCACAACTATCTATTACATTCTTGGAACTTTCAACTTTATATCCAAGCAATCCCTTTAGTGAGTTTCCTGAGGCATGTGCTAGTCTCTTATGCCACAATGAGACATGCCCATCTCCTTCTTCCACAACAAAACCTTTAGCTATTATCCTCTTCTCACTTCCAGACCTAATAGTGGCTTGTGGGACTAGTAGTTAGAAGCTTTTCTTTCCTCTACCAATCTCCTTCACCTTCCCACTGGAAAGGTCCTAGAATAAACAGAAGTTAGGATAAAAGGCTATAAAACAGTGACACTCTCTAGTTACCTTTGAAATGTACAGAAGGTTATATTGAAAATTCGGGACAAACAACACATTTTTATCTCCCCTGTTTATGTGAGCTTATAGCTGCCAATGTGTGATACACTAGTGACATTTCTATTTGGCAAGTGTACTTTGCTGCTACAATCAGAACTCACTATCTTTACATTAGTCAATATGTTTAGATTTGCTACCATATGACTGGTAGCTCCTGTATCAATTATCCAGTTTCCCTCTTCTATGCAAGCTAGAAAGAAATGTACTATACTTGCTACATTTGCCATGAAATCTTGTGTCTGTGGTGATCCTTGATTGAGCAGCCTAATGATTTGATTGTATTATTCTGCAATAAGCTGTGGTGCCATAGGAATAGGCACAGCTCCTACTTTCTCCCGTGTCTCATTCTTTCTTGTATTATTTCCTACCAAATTTGGATTCATGTTTTCAGTCTGAGCATTGTAAGCTGTATTCATAGGCCCTTTCCTTCTTCCTTTAAAGTGTTGTGGGTATCCAATTATCTTGTAGCATCCTTGTTTAGTGTGACCTTTTATCTTGCAGAAATCACATTGTAGTTCCAGTTTTTCTTTGGTGATAGTCAACTGCTTTTCCAGCTAACAGAGATGTTGGTTCACTTCCTTCTCCAATGATAGAGGAATTCACAACAGATCTTTGACTCTCTCTTTCAACAAGCATTGAATATGCCTTGTTTATACTTGGTGTAGGGCTAGTCATTAGAATATGTCTTATAGCTTGTTCCTAGCTTTCATTCAATCCCATCAGAAAATGCAGAACCTTTTGAAATTCCATGAACTCTATAAACTTTTTCGATTTAGCACAGTCACAGGGTGGTGGAACCATGTTATCAAATTCATCACATAGGTTCTTAAGCTTTGAGAAATACACTGACACAATATCATTTCCCTATGTAATTGTTGTTATTGCTTTGTGCAATTTCCCTATGTAATTGTTGTTATTGCTTTGTGCAATTGATACACTCGTCAAGTATTCACTTCATCAAACTTTTCTCTCAAATCTTTCCAAGCTACCCTAGCATTCTTCGCATATAGTATCCCTATTATCAAATCCCTCGACACCGAGCTCATAATCCACCCTAAAACTATTGCGTTACATCGATCCCACTAGTGACCTATCTTTATATCAAAATCTCCTTTTTTAGAGTTCCGTCGACTAACCCTAGCTTATTTTTCCCAAGCAGTTGGATTTCCATCGCTCGACTCCAGGTGGTATAATTCTCTAAGCCGGTCAATTGAATCGATATTATCGGAGCTCCAGTTGTGTTCGAAGGATGAAGGAATAATGGATGATTGTGATCTAAATATGTTTTCGCCATTGTTGAATTTTCCAATTCTGCGACTCAATTGGAAATCGAAATAAGTGAAGCAAAATCTTCTTAAAATCTACAAAGCTAACTCGCAAATGCAGTTGATAGCTCTGATACGATGTGAAGATTTGAGCTTAAACAGAATTTGCCATTAAAGATGAAGGAGCAAAGAAGAGAACTTTTCAGAGAGAAAACATATTTTGTATAGAATGTACCGAATATGTATCTTTACATCTTAGCTACATATATACAATAAAAACTAACTCCTATGACATTTGTCATCTTACTGTTAAAACTAACTATCACTAACCGACTTAATTAAACAAATAACAATTCTTTCTTCTCCTGTAGTGCAGGTCACGTGACTTATTTCCATAAACCCTTTTGTCTACCCTTAAAATTGGATAACAATTAAACTTATATGTAGTTTTAAGGATATGTGATTTCACTTGGCACAAACTGATAAATATGAGAATTAATGTTAGAGATTAATAGTAAAATAAAGCAAACCAATGTGATAAACAACTATAATCCTCGATCTAAACCGCCCTCGAACTAATTGAGTATGCTATCGAAAAGTATGAACCGAACAACAGAGCTTGCGAGAGAAAAAATGTAATGTATTGCTTGGTTATGTGTGAATATATGATTACAAAATGATTAGGACCTTTTTTATATAGTAGAGGAATCCTATTTGTGGTATAATTCTAATTACAGAAGGAAATCCCATGATTGGATAAATGTCCGGTCTTGACTTGACACATGCCGAGATTTCCGCCACAATTCTTGCCCAATCACGGATATCTTCACTTTTGTTATTCGATCTTGTTCCATCTCTTTCTCGCTTCGGTCTCGAGCACGGTTGGTCTCAATCTTGATCAGCCATTGATCTACAAGCTTACAAATCCATCTCCGTACCATGGTCCGATATAACCGAGGCCGAGCCTCAATCTGCCACCCCGATTTTGGTTAGTCATACAAAATTAGGCAAGCTCGATTTTGACCAAATACAGATAGTCCCCTCATTTTTTGGAGTGCAATGACAAGAAATGAATTGAGTTTTCGAGCTACCCCTCGATTTATCATGACGTAGGCATCGTGACGTAAACAATAGAGGTGACTAAAACGTCTTGTCGGTACAGTTCTCTAGGAATTTAATGCTTGTCAGTCGATGGTCGGCCACCACCGGTACTGAACCGTCGCCTTCAACCTATAAATGCATCTTTCTTCATCTTTCAAACTTTACTTACAAATTCTCTTCCCTCTAATTTCCAAAATCTTTGC